ATGTGTTCATGCTTGTTTTTTGTTTTTTTTTTTGTAAAAAGGATATTTATCATATTACACACCCTTACTAGAGCTAAGTGTTTCTAGGAAGTTGTGAAATACCATTAAATTTTTTCATAAACCCTCTCTATTTCTTATTTGGCCTGTGAATTAGATTGTGCTATGGTTATTCTCTATGTTATCATCTGTTGTGAAATGGCAACACATATTGTGGTAATTAAAGGTATTAGTATATATGTGCAGTTATTATCATCTTATAATTTAATAGATCCATTGCTATCTTAAATGCTTTAAGGAGCTTTCTAGGAGACATTTATTTCAGTAGCATGGTACTTAAACTTATATGAACTAGTATGAACAAAGAGCATTAAGGTTTTTTTAATAGGAGCCTCATCCAAATGCCCATAGACTTTCATGAGAGTTAGATGTTTCAAATTAAATCTCAGAGGATTTGCCAACTATTTTGAAAAATATTTTCAACTCAAGTGCATCTGTCTGTGAGAATTCATCTACAATTATACATCTCACTGAATTCAATGAAATGATTTATAAAATAGAAAATGTCTCTGAAATAATTAGTTTTGGTGATATTCATGATAGAAATTACACTGTGAAACATTAAACTATGTTTTCAATTAACTTAAATTCATGTTGACTTTTACCTGACCGTGTTCAATAACAAATGGTATAAATATAATCACTTTCAAGGATAGATGATAACTAGTTTATAACAGCATAATAATGTGAATATTTTGCATTGTATTCAGCTTTTCTTTTTTACCTCAAGGCTTTAGCATATGATATTCCTTCTCCTTGTAAAATTCATTCAGATTTGGCTGTTTATTGCTATCATCCAGTTTAACCCCTTCATGTGGCTAGTTCTGGTTTATTCATCAGGTCTCAGATTGTGTCAGTATCTCAGACTTGAACTTCCCTTCTTAATTAGGCCCCTCATTATACCTTTCATAGCATCCTGTACTTTTTCTTCATCTTTCCAATCATGATTATATACCCATTTGTTTGGTATTTGTGTAATGACTATTACCTTTACTAGACCATAATCTCCATGGCATATAATACAGTGTCTGAAATATAATACAAGATCAAAAGGGAATTGTTATAAGAATCAATGAACAAATGCTATTATAACATCCAGATTACCAGCATGGTTGTCACAATTTATATTTAATCTTTATAAGATTTTAGCATATTTCATGCAAATAAGTAGAGATACAGAGAATCAAGTTTCCCTTTCTTCTATAATAGAATCAGAGAAGGTAAATCACAATACTTTTAAAACAGAATGTTTGAGCAAGAGACTTTGTTAGCATTATTTTTTCTCTTTTTTTCAGTGTGCTTTATTTTCTGGGAAAGGAGCACACAGATTCTACAGTTCCAAAGGCCTCCCACAACATTTGCATGGTGTCAGCGTCCTCTCCCATTCTCCTCTCCTGTTAGTCCAAGTTTTAAGTAGTGATCTCAAAACTCCTATGCTGTCTTAATCTTAGAAGATGATCTTGGCACCTACCATTGAGTGAAAACAAAGGCTTGTATGTGAGAAATAGTCAACTTTCTCCCTTTCACCTCCTACCACCTTTAAAAAAAACCCCTACATCCATACCCTTTCTTTATTCATTGCCTCTGCTCTTGGAAGAAGAGGTGCCTTCTACCTCTCAGTTTGATTTGATTCCTTTCTGCTGCTTCTTTGGTCTTGCCACATCAGGTATCTTACCTATCTTTTAAAAATGTTTTCTCTTTGTACTTTATCCTTCTAGACATCCTATGGATATGCTTAAGATTCTTCCATGCTAAAAATGAAGAACAAAAAATAATTTTCTTTAACTGTGTATCCTTACAATTATTTTCTTATCTCTTTACTTTCCTTCTCAACTAAGTCTATGTACTCTAGGTCTCTACTTTCTCATTGCCATTTAGTCTTTAACCCACTGTCATCTGGCTGCTGCCATCACTAATTGAAATTACATTAGCAAAGATTACTAATGACTTAATAGCTATGTATGCTGCACATTTTCAGATGTCATTATACTTGACCTATCTGTTGCATTTAATATTGTTGTCTACAACATATTTTCTTTCTTTTTATTCTGGATTTATCAAAGGTAAAGGTAATACCTGCTTATTGTAGAAAAGTAAACATTATTGGAGTCATGAGGATTATTGCCATCACCTTGGAACTTTATTTTCCTTGTGTTTCTGTGACTCTTATTTTGTTTTCCGATACCAGTCTAGCCTAGCTCTTACTTATTGTAGAAAATGTAAACATTACGGATTCATGAGGATTATTGCCTTCACCTTGAAACTATTCTCCCTGTGTTTCCATGACTCATTTTTTCTGATACCAGTCTAGCTCTTACCACACTGACTGATTTCCTAAAGTATGGTTTACAGGCTTTTTAATCTCTTCTAGCCCCTTGCATTTTGGTGTTCAATTGGATCCAATGTTCAACCTTTTTCTCATTTCAAATCCTTTCTCTCATGACTGCAGCCATCAGTCAGTGACTGCTCAATCCTATATCTCTAACTCAGATCACCTTCTGAGGGTATGCCAGCACCCATACATTCAATTACCTACATGCAGATTTATTCTGATGTCTCCCTGGTACTTAAACTTTATGAGTCCAAAATGAAACCTAGAACCTTTTCTCAAAGTTGATGTCATTTCCTTTATTACCTAGTAATTGACAGTGCCTTTTATCTGGTGTCTCAAGCCAGAGCCTTGCTTTGCATTCGTTTCTCACCGTTTGTATCCAATTGGTCACTAATTTCAGTAGAATCTCCTCAACATGTCTCATATATTTCCCCTTCTTCTCATTCATGATATCACTGTTTTGGTTCAAATTCTTTTTTTTCTTATCTGTATGAATACTTAAGTTGTCTCATTGCTTTCTGTCTTACCTGACTCCAATTCATCTTTCCCGCTGTAAATAATTGTCTCTTAAGTATTCAGATATGACCATATCACTCTTCTGCTTAAAATAATGTCTCCTCATTAGCTTCACTATAAGTCCTACAGGATATATTCCAGCCTCCTTAGCATAGCATCTAAAGCCTTTGTGAACTGGCCTTTGCCTGTCTTTCTAGCTGATGTCAGGACTATATCTCAAGGAACTGAAATTAGAACAGATTATGTTATTCTGAGTGTCAAGTAGCAAAAAGAACCTGCAAGTTGAGTATGAACTAAAGTCCTTAAGGGTTTCTGATGATCAAGTCAGGGACATGATGATGTTTGACAGGTTTTTAGGGTAGGAATAAGAAGAAAAAGAAAGACATAAAAGGAGCTGGAGAGAACTAAAGGATAAGGAGAGTAAGATCAAGAACAGCAAATCTAATGCAGGAAACTATCATCAAGAGTCAATGAACTGTCTGTACCATTGAGTTTATGATGGGTAGGTATGTTAGGTTGATCTAAAGGGTCAGAGTCAAGATCGAGACTGACAGAAAAGTCTGTGATAAGTCTGATCATCTTTCTCTTCTATTTAAAATACTTTACTGCCTCCTTCTCAACTATAGGGAGAAATCCAAGATTTTAAAATGACCTAAGAGGGCCTCCATAATCAGGTTTCTTCCTGTCTATGCAATCTTGTTTCCTACCCGCTGCTCTATTGCTCTTTAGGCTGTATCAACACTAAATACTTGATGCTCTTTCAAATCCCTGTGTTTTTTCACATATTGTTTCCTCTGCCTGGAATGCCCTTCATTTCCTCATTTCCTGGGTGAACGGCTGTTCATTTGTTAAAATCCTGTATAGACATCACCAACTCCAGGAAGCTCCTTCTAAATGCTCCTCTTTCCCAGAGTTGCCCATCCATCCATCCATCCATCCATCCATTCATTTATTTTTTACTGAGCAAATATTTATTGAGTACTTAGTATGTGTCAGATGCTATGTTAGGTACTGGGAACACCATGGTGAATAAGATAGGCCAAACAGGGCCTCTGCTCTTCTTGGTTTTACATTTAGCAGTAGATAATACAACTGAACAATCAATTACCAATTTAATAAATGCTATGAATAAAAGAAACAAGGAACTGTGATACAAGAAAATGAGGATGACAGAGAGACAACCTACTTCAGTATAAGGTTGAGCCATATAAAATTAACAGTATTTGAATTGTGTTTGTCCTATAAAATTTTCAGTTTTATATAGTATAACCTAATAGTTGCCTTTCTGAGCAAGTGACATTTAAGCTGAGACCTGAAAGATGAGGTATAATTGTCCACGCCTGGCTAAGCTTAGCATGTTCCAGAAATCAAGAGAAGATTGGAGGAGAAAGAATTGAGAAAAGGGCTGAGTTACAGTGTAGATGAAAGTAAGACACATAGGGCAGATCATATAGGACCTTTATGGGAGTTTGGATTTGACTCTCATTAATATGTACAGCCACTAGAGTATTTTAAGTTCCCTCTGATTACAGTGTGGGACTAGAAGAGAAGGGAGTAAGGGTGGAAATAAGGCTACCGATTAAAAGGTTGTTATAAGGAGACAATATATTGTTATATGTGCAGGCTTTGGAATCAGGCTGCCTTGGTTTAAATTCTGGTTCTGCCCTTTATTAGCCATGTTACTTTATGCAATTATACTCATATTTTCTAAGCCTCAGTTTCTCCAACCATGAAATAGGGATAATAATGAATCAACTTCATAGCTTTAGTGATTAAATGACATAATCCATCGTAAACACTAAGCAGTCCCTGACAGATAATAAACACTTAATAGATACTAGAGATTAATAGTCCAAGTGAGAGATGATAGTGACCTGGACCAAGTTGATGACAATGTATTTGGTGAGAAGTGAATCGATATGAGGCCTATTGTGGAGGTTTAAACAGCAGGATTTATTAATGGATTGAATGTGAGAGTCGATAGAGAAGGATTTTTCAGGTGTGATTCCCAAGTTTCTCTCAAAAGGAGTGGAGTAGATTGTGCTGCACTTTCATAAGTTGGAGATGATCTGCTGGGAACAGATTTTTAATTAAACTTATATGTTTATTTTATCTTATATTAAAGGTGTTTTATAATCATTCTATCTGCTTCTCTCGCAGAATGGGGGCTGCTTGATATACTAGCAGGTGAAGAACTAAGGAGAGTATCTATCCTTGTTCTCCGTGGCAACTGAGAGTCTGCCCTGAAAACCATCAGGCACCATGGGGAAGCGGGATAATCGGGTGGCCTATATGAATCCTATAGCAATGGCCAGATGGAGAGGCCCAACTCAATCTGCAGGCCCAACAATCCAAGATTACCTAAATCGACCAAGGCCCACCTGGGAAGAAGTGAAGAAACAATTAGAAAAGAAAAAGAAAGGCTCTAAAGCATTAGCTGAATTTGAAGAAAAAATGAATGAGAATTGGAAGAAAGAGCTTGAAAAAAGCAGAGAGAAATTATTAAGTGGAAATGAGAGCTCATCTAAAAAAAGAGAAAGAAAGAAAAGGAGAAAGAAGAAATCTTGTCAGCCTTCATCTTCTTCTTCTTCAAGCTCTGATTCTTCAAGCAGTTCTTCAGATTCTGAGGATGAGGAAAAGAAACAAGGAAAAAAGAGAAAGAAAAAGAAGAACCGTTCATACAAATCATCACAAAGCTCTACATGTGAATCGGAATCAGAGAGCAAGGAATCTTCAAAAAAGAAAAAGAAGTCAGAGGATGAGACAGAGAAAGAAAAGTATGCTAGAAACCTCAGCAAGAAAAGAAAGAAAACTTGTCCTGAGGATAAACCTTTATCATCTGAGTCCTCATCAGAATCAGATTATGAAGAAGAGATGCAATCAAAAAAGAAGAGAAGGCATGAAGAACGAGAAAAAGTAGTGGATAAAGTGAAGAAGAAGAAGAAGAAGAAACAGCACAAGAAACATAGTAAGAAGAAGAAAAAGAAGTCTGCTTCCAGTCACAAGTCAGGATAACACCAAGAAAAAAAAGCAAGATTTCCATACTTTAAAAAAGCAAAGTCAAAAGGAAACTTCAACTGTGAAAGTTAGGGCATATTTACCAAATGCATGAATTTCCCTGTGTTAGTAGAATTATTCCTGGACTTTGAGTTGCCAGTCAAATGCCACTGTGCCAGAAAGGGCCGTAATTGTTGCCTGCAGCTTAAATATTAATATATGGTTTGTTTTGTTCGTTCGTTCGTTTGTTTGTCTGTGTTTCCTTCCAGTGGTTAATTCCTCTGGGAACTAAAACTGTTGTTATACTAGTGGTTAAAATGTTGGGAATTAAAGTAAAATGTTTTAGATAATGAATAATTTTGACCAAAAAAATGTATCTATGGTTAAATGTATCTAATTTGGATACATCTTTAAATATAATCATAAATTTCCAGATGATTGTAGCTGACATTTTTGAAGTAAGGACTTAACATCAATGTCTCAAAATCCTTACTTTTGTGGATGAGTTTAGTTTATTTTACTTTTTTCCTTAATGAACTTTTGTTTACATGGGGAAAGGGCTTGTGGGGTGGGAGGGGGAAGTGTTTGCTAATCAGTTTGGCTAGCTGAATAGTGTGCCTTTGATCCTTACACACCCTAATTTTGCCAGTGCAGCAGCCATTCTTTTCTTACTTAGTGAAATTCTGGGATGTCGTATGCTTCTCTACGTGAACAAGAAAGACACCAGTTTACAGCATAAGTATGTCTCCATAGCTATGAAATTTACCTCCACTTAAGCACTAGTCACTATACAGTACTGAGTAGTATTTAGTATTTGAATATTATATGATTTGAATTAACTTTGGTACCCTTTCAAAGGGAATCATTTTAAATAGACCCTGGTATTTTTTGATTAAGAAAGATTATGAATTTTTTTTGCACGTTTTATACTATTGTTTTAATTATCCAGCAATATTCTATATAACCAGTTTTTTAAATATAATTTATGCTTAGCATACTAGTTTCAAGTTTGTAGTTTCTTAATCTTGCTATATTAATTTCGTTACTGTGTTTAATTGCACACTTGCCAAAATACTTAGCATGTGAAAAGAAGGTTTTTAAAAAATATTCGATGCCTTCATATTGAAGCTGGTTTACTGTAAGCAAGTTGAGTGCCAGACCTCTAGTACGCTGTGTGTCTTCTTACGTAAAACTACTGCCAAAATCTTAGTAAGTATGCTGTTTAAAAGTGTGTTGTCTTAAGCATTAATATTGAACTAAAATAGAAGTTAAATTTAGGTAATAGTGACATCATTGATCTTACTGTGTCCATATTTTACTAAGATTTGGTGCCTTGTGTATGTTGCTGATTCACTTTTGCCACTAATGTTAAAAGGAGTTGAAAAATTTATTTTTACTTTACATTTTTATATATCAGAGTAACATCAATTATAAATTTATGTATCAAAAACATCTATAACAGAGGATGTGCTGATTGTAATGTCATAGGTACAAAGTATTTTGGTGTGATGAGAAGCTCAATAGCTATTGTTTTTACATCGCTGATTTTGTCTCAGATCCCTTGGATCACAAGTAAAATTATAATAATAGAAAACATCTAGTAGATAAATAACCTGTCAGCTCGCCAAATTTTTGCAGTGGAAATATCGGAACCTCTCAGTAAGGTTCTTGGAACATTATAGTAATGCCATGTTAGATCACCTTGGAGCTTCATAACTAGCTTTTTCCTAAAAATATATCTATATGTATATGCTGGTAAAAACTATTACATTTATGGAATATTTTGTATTCATATGGAGTTTTTCAAAATTGTTGTTCATTAAAATGTTTTTTAAAAGCTTATATTATTTGTAGAATATGGCAAAGACATTTACAGCTCATCATATATCTGTGTGCTCCCTTTCACTTCCCAGCCCCTTGTAGTTAGGCGATGCCATTCGACTACTTCTAGCAGAGGGATTGTACACAGAAGTGATGTTTTGTTTCCATACTGGAGCAGTAAAAAGTCCTGCATGACCCTCCAGCTCTCTTTTACCTGCCTTGGTGGCCTGAATGAAATGTGTTCCAAATGGCATACCTACAAGATGGATGTACCCTGGATCTCTAAGTTGCTGTTTAGAAGGGACCTACCCTGGAGTGCTGATGGACTTGCAGTACACTTTTTGACAGTAAGAAATAAACTGTTATGTGTTAAGCCACTGAGATTGTGGGTCTCTTTATTACTGCAGAATCACCTAACTTAATCTGACCAATAATAAAGAACACTAGAACATCTATTTCATTATGTATATAAAATAACACACTTCTACTACATCTGCCTGTAGCCTATAGATTGACCCAGAAGTGATAATTTATGCCGTAGTGGAAGGAAATACTCATCTTATTTGCATTGGTTTTTATGGTAATGGCTGAGGAAGACAGTGGTCTATCATAATATTTCATGCTTATTAGCAATGCTGACTGTCTTAGAAATAAAACTGTATCATTATTCCTTTGATTATAGCCAAAACAATGTTCCAGTAAAGGGTCTGTGAAGGAAATTTTAGCACTCATGAGGACTTGATAAAGAAGAGGAAGGCTATTTTTTAGATTAAGTATAGAATTTATGGTAGAGAAAAGTGCTATAGAAATATGTAGAGGACAATAGACTAAATTGATTGAGGTGAGCATTTAATAAGTAGCTTCCAGATTGAAAGCAAAACAATTTGTCCCGGCTGGGCGCGGTGGCTCACGCCTGTAATCCTAACACTCTGGGAGGCTGAGACGGGCGGATCGTTTGAGCTCAGGAGTTCGAGACCAGCCTGAGCAGGAGTGAGACCCCGTCTCTACTAAAAAAATAGAAAGAAATTAGCTGGACAACTAAAAATATATAGAAAAATTAGCCGGGCATGGTGGCACATGCCTGTAGTTCCAGCTACCTGGGAGGCAGAGGCAGTAGGATCGCTTGAGCCCAGGAGTTTGAGGTTGCTCTGAGCTGATGCCACAGCACTCTAGCTGAGGCAACAAAGTGACACTCTGTCTCAAAAACAAAAACAAAAACAATTTGTCCCTATGCAAAAAGCACTAAAGTTGTTCTTGTGATTTGCTTTGTGATTAGTAAGGAGAACAGCTTTAGCCATAACATTCAACTAGCTTTGACTATAGGAAAGGGAAGCAGTGCAAAAATCAATAAGAAAGAAGATGGGAGATGGGAAAAATCGATACGGTCTGGATTAGAAATTTAATTGAGAGCACAAAAAGAAGAATTTAAAAGATCCCAGGCTGAAGATGAAGGTTTAGATTGGAGATAGGA